TGGGTGAAATTTTGCACATTATGCATTTTCAATTAAGTTACTGTAGTATTTCTCTTAAAAACTTGAAATTTTGCTTTTTGCTTGTTTTGAGTTATGATGTGCATTTTGATATGGTGAGTCTTTATAAATAATAGGTAGCATGTTGTTAAGTTGAACCTTGTGCTAATTGGCTCATGTAATGTATGTTGAGTTCATAAGTGTTGTGAGAATGCAATGCCTCATTATGAAGTGTTTTGAGACTTATGTGTGGTAATATGAGTTTTCATGTTTGCGTTGTTGAAATGACATGATTTATGTTGATTTGATATTGTTGATTTGTTAGGCTTCTAGTCTTGAGTCTATTCCTTCCTTTAAAAGAATTTTAGTGTCATTCGGGGATGAATGTTCCTAAGGGGGGGGGGATAATATAACACCTTGAAAATCCAAGACACATTGTAAAGCCTAACATAGGTGTCATAAAGTCTAAGCACTGTTTCTAAGTCCATTTTTAATGAATATAGGTCATTTAGGAGGTTTAAGATCCAAAACTTCCAAAAACATCCATGACGTTCGGGAAGTTGGTTCAAAGGGATGTTAGTGTGCCTTAGACTATTTGACTAACTTTTAGAAGTCAGAAATGTACTAAAATTGGTGGAAAGTTAGCTAATAGGTGTTTGAGTTGTTTCATGGTTGAAATGTCCGAGTACGACTTCCCGAGGACAACCAAGGGCCCTTGAGTAGGACTACTGTAGTTTGATGCAACACTACCTGGCAGTGTGCATCGACGAGACAGAAGACGGACCGTGTGTGTATCAACGGGCGTCGATGCCACTGTTGTCCCACAGTTAATCCGTTGGAGAAGGTCTCTTCACCTGCACAGCCTCTGAAATCATCGATGGAGTGAAGAGGTGCAGGTTACGGTCCATGTGTGTATCGACGAGACGTCGATACCACCGTCGTCCCACACCTAGACAATTTGGAGGAAGCCCTCGCCTGCACAGTGTTTGACCAAGATGATGGAGTATAGGACGGAGGGGGGGCTGTTTGTCGACTCACAGATGGCTCGTTGTTCGGGATCTCGTCTGTGAGGGTCGAGTTTCATTGCCAAATTTTAAATTATTTCATTTAATTAGTTAGGGGGTTAGGTGGTTTAATTAGGAGTTAAAGGAGTTAATTAAGTTGATTAAGACCCTTTATAAATACACCCAACCCACATTAGTCTAACACAACTCTGAAATAAATTCTCTTCCTTCTTTCTTATTAAAGACTAGCAAGGATTAGGGTTTGGGGGATAGAATGGGACGAATTCACCATAAAATTATTGACAAAACATTAAGCTATGGGTTCTATTCACCTTTGAGACTCTTTCCTCAAAGGGTTCCTTCAAAATAGATTTCAAAAAGTTGAGTTTTCTTATAGGTTTCATTCAATTACAAAGTTGAAGTTATGGATTGACTTGTTAATGAATTCTTAGGGTTATATTGAGTATAGTAACATGTAATTCAACTTTTTTATGGTAATTGTTGATGGTTTGGTCTAAATTGAAGAATATGCTCATCTATCCCTAACCCTAGGTAGTGATCTTGACTTATATTGTACTGTTATCATTCAATTGAGTTGGTTGTTGATTAGATTACTATCCCATGGTGTTATTATAATTAAATTAAGATGAATTATAGGCCTATCATGCTAGTCCTAGAGATGTGATTTAGGTTATGAATTATAATGTGAAATTAACCTATGTATCTTGTCTCAAGTTGTGATCTAAGGATAAATTGTGTTATAGAGATGAAATTGACCTTGTTATACTATTGATTATCATTGTGTGATGATGTTACTCCCCAAGTTGGGTTGATTTAGGGGTTGATGGTAAGACCTTGATTATAGACTATGAGGAAGACTTGGTAAGTCTTAGAATCTCTATCTTTACATCCAATTCTGATTAAAGGTTGTTAAGTCATGATATTACATTGGAGTATGCCTTACACTAGGATTATAGGGTGGTATGATGTTGAATTGAAGTGTCTTGACTATGTTGTAAGGTTGATTAAGATGTATGTGATATAAGGATGGTGAAAACTATCAAAATGCCTTAATATGCTATGAAAAATGCTAATGTGTTAACCTCACTTATATGAATTGTGATGAAAGGACTTATACTCATACAATTCTCATTGAGATATTGATGATGATGATTATACAAGGGGTAGACCCTATGGCTTAAACTAAGCTATGATTGATAATTAAAGTCTTAAAGACATTTCAAAAAGGGACTCTACCTTAGCACCGAGCGAACTATATTGAGGAGTGTCCCTTCCCACATAGAGAAGGTAGGAATACTACATTACTCTTGAGATTGGAGACTATAATGAATGGCGCATAAAGAGGGTCCCAACTATATCTCCTAGTTCTTCAACTATGTTGCCCCCCATAGGAATACTAGCTATTGGATTCACGTAGTTGCTATGTTTCATGTTTTGGTACAACCTTGGAAAGTAGTCCGCCTTCTTTCAGTGTAGGGTTTTATGACACCGGATTCCACACTAGCTCACGTTGTCTATGTCGGTTAGGGCAAGATGTTCCCAAAAGGTAAAACGACTTAAAGGACTTGAATTCTAACTTGAATAACCTAAGGGGTCTAGCTTAGTCTAGGTAGGGTTATGGGACTCTACCTAAATATTGCACTAGTTAGCTTTTAAAGGAGTCTTAAGAGGAGGTTCATATATATGATTATGTTATGATAATATATGATGTATATATGATGAACATGGAACATTGTTGATATTATATGTTGAGTAATTCATTAATGAATATGCCTTGGGTTATAATGTTAATATATGATGAAATGTAAACCTAAATTTCATGATATGTAAAGTTGGACATTGGTCATGCTTTCTTGTTGAAATACTTGATTGAGTAAGGTTATGGGGCTTTGCTTGGTCATTGCACTTGTTGACTTGATAAGGACTTGTAAGTAGTTGTCTTGCTTATTATGATATGTTTACCTCTTATTCATTCTTATGATATTATTCCTTGATGTTAGGGTTGTAGTAAATCATGTTTTAAAGTATGTTGGGATAAATTATTAATTATTGAGATAGTAAGCATGTTTGGTTTATTGATATGACTTACTTGACTTTCCTTTAAGTCCTTAAAGGGGTAAAATGACATGTTTTGATAAAAAGTCCTTTGTATCATGTTTTGCTTGTGTATGTGCATAAGATCTCATACTTAGTACATGTGGAGTACTAACCCCATATTCTTCCCTTTTCCCAGATCGTTGAAGAGTTTAGAAGGCGACATTGTTGAAGGCTTGGGTTCTTCCTTTCATCCAAGTGGGGTAGGTCCTCAACTTTCAAGGGAAATGTCATACTCTAGCTTACGGATTCTGCTATGAGCATATTGACTCTTTTATTCCTTTTATTTTAATGGAATATGACTTATACATGGTCTAATTGAATTGATGTAAGGGCTATGCGCATATTGTGATATTCATTTAGATTGTATGAGATAATACAATCATTGAGAATAATTCTATATTTTTATATATGTATGTGCAATAAAAGTAGAAGGTTATGTAACCTTCCTATAAGAAGGGTCTATGTATACTCGATATGAATATATATTATGTTTATTTAGAGGTCTATAATGAAAGTTTTAATTTTTTTCGCATTTTCAACCTATGAATGTAATGACATGAAACTAAGAGGCTAGTCTTAGTCCTTGAAAAGGACGGTGACACCGGTTACGTCTAGGGGGTAAACCCGGTTGTGACAGTTTAAATTCCCAGGCATAGGAGAAAGGATCATAACGAACCTGACACAAATTTGACGAAGCCCATCTACAGGGGGAACGACGGTCCGTTATTTGGATTACTGGTAGTCGTACATGATCTTCCCAACAGGGCTTCACTAAAATGAGCATAACCTGTTACTCGGACATAAGATAATAGCAAACTCGGTGGTGTTTGGAAGATGATTCAATTATATTTAATTTATAAGTTATGAGCCACCTAATTCATTTTATGATAAAAGATATGACCATTTGAAATTAATACAACAACCAATTCCCTTCAATTGGTTGTTAACCCTCACTAACGGTCAAACTTACGATTTGTAAGTCCAACCACGGATCATCCTGATCGACCGTGGGTGGGGTTAAAGACCATAAATATTTGGTGCCCAACGATGGTTCTTACACCAGAATATAAAAAGATGCACTTTTTTCTATTTTCTCAAATTCGAGGTGTTGCCGATAAATTCAAACTCATAAGAAGAAAAAATGATATTGTGACATCATATTGATAATTGGTATACCATCAACATTACTTGTGTTAAAACTTGTGATAACCTTGGAGATTCATAAACTAAGACCTTAGAAAGATAAGTGTCACGAACTTAGAGTGTCACTAAAGCTCCGTGTGGCACTTGATAATTAACTCACTAATATTTCAAGATCTTGTAAGCTTAAGTAAGCTCTTTGAAACTAAGAACGCTGAGAGAAAATTAGGAAAGACTTAGAAAGCTTTTGGAAGAAGACTTTGTATTGCTTGTGGAATACTTACACTTTGTTAAATGATTTACTAATCTAAATGTAAATAATATTTACTTTGCAAATGCCTATAATATTTACCCTTTAGTCCTATTCCAGAATTCTCTACACGTTTTAAAGAATTCTAAACCTTTATAAGATATGCTCTAAGGAATTCTAGAGTCTTCCACTAAGCTCTCTCAATAACTCTAGATTCTTCCCAGTGTTTTGGACGGCGAAAGGCGACAAAAGGTGACAAGGGCATGCCTCGCCACGCGACAAGGCGAGCGGCGAGGCGCTTGCCTTTTTGAATAAAGGCGCCAATTAATACCAAATATTAAAAATATTTAATTGCATATTTTATCCAAAATCTTAATAGTAATAACACATATTAGCAAATATTCAATTCAAAAACCAATAGTAGATACTAAAAAGTCTAAAACTTTAAAGACCAAATAATTCAAAATACAATAAACTAAAACGTTACAAGTCTATTCTTCTTCAAAACTATCCAACTCTTGAAGATCAAAATCCTCTACATCATTATATTGCTCTTCATTTTCTTCCTCCACGTATTCCTCATCAATTAGTGTTTGATTCCTACTTGAAGATGAACTTGTAGATGTACTTTCTAGTCCTTTGCCCTTGTCAAGTGCTCTTGATCTTGAAGAAAGTCCCCTAAGATAATAGATATTCTCATCCGCTCCAATTGTCGTAGCAACACTACCCAAGTAAGATCGTCATCCTCATGTACTAGTTCATCATCTTGATCTTTGGGGCATCCAACTAACCATTCATTTGAATCATCATTGGTATCCAAGCGAATTGGATCAATAAGATCATGAGCATCATAATGACGTTTCAATGTTCTATTGTACTTATTGTACACTAGATCATTGAGACGCGATAGTGTTATCCTATTCCTCTTTTTGGAATGAATCTGTGCATAAGTTATTGATATTAGCTAATAGATATTGATAATAATATAATATGGAAATTAGGATATAAAGTTTTTACTTACATGTTCAAACACACTCCAATTTCGCTTACATCCGGATGAGCTACAAGTTAGGCTTAATACTTTCATGGCAAACTTTTGCAAGTTTGGTGTTTCACTACCAAATAGTGACCACCATTCAACTATAATAAAATAAATTTAAAGGTTATTGACTATAAATAAGTCAAATAATTTAAGTAAGAATGTAAGCTCAACCCACTTACCCCGTGACCTTGTGTTTTTAGCTCTTTTAGCTGGACCACAACCAAATAGTCCATCTGCCATTTTGTACCTAGGAAGCTCAGCGACTAGTGAATCTTGTATTGTTGTATCATGGACCAACTTCTCAACACATGCATAATACTCGGTCCACAAAGTATGTGCTATAGTTCTATCTTCTTGAGCTTTATAATATAATCCTGGGTTCAAGACATGTCCTACAGCATGCAATGGCCGATGGAGTTGTTCTGACCACCTTGCATCAATAATTTGAAACACTTTCTCATATTGCTTCTTAACTCCATGAAAACCATGTGAAATATCTTCTTTGGCTCTATCCATTGCTTCATAAATATAATATTGGTGGTTTTTCTCCCCATCCACCAAATGAAGCACTTTAGTCAAAGGTCCACAAATTGTAAGTGCTCGAATAACATCATTCCAAAAGTGGACAGAAATAATAAGATTGACAACTTCTTTCTTCGAAGTTCCCTTTGCAAATTTACTTGAATTCCATTCGGTTGAGAGGACTAAAGTTCTCAAGTTTTTCTTTGTATGTACATAACTCTCAAATTTAAGAATGTCATTGCAAATCTTGTCTTGGTTGGTTTCACCAAATTTCTTTGTTTGGTGAATTTTCTCATCAAGTTTAACAACAATGGCCTTTGACTAATGTAAGAATGGATTCTAATGGCCTTCTTAAAAATTGTTACAGAAAGATTAGATTATATTAATTAGTAGCTAATGAATTATTGACTATAAAAAGTTAAATGATAGGTTGATATGAGAGTGATATTACCGGAAGCATATGGCTTAAGTTTAAATATGTCACCAAATATCAAGTTGATGCAATGAGCGGCACATGGAGTCCAATAAATGTGTGGGTACACACCCTTCATCCTACTTCCCGCCTCAACATTCTCACTACCATTATCGGTGACAACTTGTACAATATTTTCCGGCCCAATTCTTTCAATAGTGTTTTCAAATAACTTGTACATTTTGGTGGAATCGGTAGATTCATTGCTAGCATCAACAGAACCAAGAAATACACTACCCATTGGAGAATCACCAAAATATTGATGATCATTTTTCCATTTCGTGTCGTCCATTTGTCCATCATAATGGAACATCCAAATTTTGTCCATTGCATTTTATGCTCATCAACAATTTTTTTCTACTTTCTCCACCTCTTTTTTTAGGTGAGTGACTCTAACTTCATGGAATGTAGGAGGCTTCATTCCGGGGCCATGTTGTCCTACCGCCTCAATTAATTTATCAAATGATTTGTGATTGACGCAATTAAAAGGGAGCCACGCATTATACATCCAAATTGCAAAAGCACTTACCGCACGCTCTCTTAGTATTTTCTTTGTTTCATCAATTCCTCCTCTTTTTTCAAAGCCTCCTTTTTGTGTTGGTTTCTATGAAAAATAGAGATTCAAAGGGCCTTTCGTCACATTCCCTGCGGTGGATGATGCACCTCCACTAGAACTAGAAGATATCTTTTGAGTTTTGGAGGGAGGCATCATTTCCTCATAATCATCCATTTGATCAAGATCATCAATATCAATATATTCTTCCGGCTGCCTTACTTTGAATTTGGGATTATTAGCGATCTTGTTTTGCATATTAGCCCTTATTTCTTCTCTAATCTCTGATGGACAAGCGGTATATTGTTTAACATTCTTGAAATCACCAACTAAATGTTGTTTGTGTCGAGTTATTCCACCATTAAAAGTACTCCCACAAAAGTAACAATTAACTGAATCTTTCGTCGCTCCTTGAGTGCCATAATTCCATCCAATGTCCCTCTTTTTTCTAGCATCCGCCATTGGTTATTCAATTCAATCAATTCACTGTTTAGGAATAAATAATTAGGAAACTAGAAAGAATTTTTTAAAAAAAAAAATTATTGGCAGTCAATAGTCAATAAAAGAAAAAAAAAGCAGTCATTAATCATCACTGATGAGTCTAATGACTAGAAGGAAAATACATTAACTGAAAAAAAATTGAAGAAGAAGAACAGAAAAAAAGAGGTATACGATATACCTCAGGTCTGCAACAGAGAGCAGCAGGTAGCACTGCAGCAGCAAGCCAGCAACTCGCAAGTCGAAGCAGCAGAGAGTCGCGAGGGGAGACGAGGGTCGCGAGGGAGAAGAGAGCGAGGGAGAAGAGAGTCGCGACTCGCGAGGGAGAAGACAGCGAGGGAGAAGAGAGCGAGGGAGAAGAGTGCGAGGGAGAAGACAGCGACAAGAAGACAGCAGCAGCAGATTTAAAAATTATTTTTAAAAAAAGCCTTAATTTTGACTAATATTGTTAAGTCAAATATTTTTTTTAAAAAATTTAAATAAAAAGGCGGCGCCTTTTCTGTCGCCATTACCTCGCCATATGTCGCCATACATCGCCATTTTGATCTCGCCTCGCCTCGCCTCAGTGATGAAAGGCGATGAGGAGCTCGCCTTTCATATCACCGATTCTTCCTTCTTTATTATGTTAAATTTGAAGGACAAAGTGGCTAGTTATGACATAAAAGTCTAAAGAACATCAAGGGGATAAAAATTGAAGTCCAAATTACTAAGTCATATATGAGGAAACTCTACCTTGTATCTCGTATGAGTGGGGTGTTAAATTATAGGAGCATCCACGACAAATTTCACCTACATGAATATGAAAGTAATCCATTTTATATGCGAATTAGCTTATTTTTAAAAAAAACACTTATGAAAACTGAGATAGCACAAGGTAGTAATATGTTGACTATCAAAGCTTATATCAACACGTTGATTGTTTTATGTAAGAAATGATAATTTATTTCCATTAAGCATTCATAGTTCAAGTTTGAGACCATTACTAACTCTGGAGTAAAGGTTATTGTTTTACTAAGTGAAAGTTCAATGTAGAGCACACCTTCATTATGCATAATAGTCAGCCTTTAACTGAATTGGTGAATTCTCTTATTTAATATTAAAATAAGTGGAGAAATGTTGGTATATATGCATTTCATTATTATGAATCATGGTTGACACATGATGTTGATGTTTTCAAATCCAGTTGCAATAACCACAAGAATTTGACCCAAGACGACGACATTTGTTGAATCGAAGTTCACCATTCTTAAGAGTTATAGCAATATAATCTCTTTCTATAATTCCGCACTTACACGTACGAGATTGAAGTTCTTGGGGAGAAGAAATCGAATAAGATGCTAGCAATTTTAAAAAACAAAGTCTAAGAACACTGATCTTATAAATTGAAAGAAAATTGAATTAAATTAGGAAAATGAAGTGTTGGGAACGAAGAGTTGTTTTTATTAGACGAGTTCTTTTTGTATTGTGGTTGGTGGGTTTGGTAAGTATTAGGGCGGGTTTATTTATAAATGGGTGGGTAATGAATGGATTTAAAATTATATTAAATAACTGAATTGCAAGCAATAATTGAGCGCTTTGTAATAAAAAGGATTTATTTAATTATTTTAAATGATAGTCTATTAAAGAAGTGGCTAAAATTGGACTCAAATGTGGATGAGAAGAGTATTTGGGAGCCAATAAGTGGATGGGGTCGGGTAGTTGTGTATCATTTTAAATACTTTGAGGGTATTTTAGGTTTTTTTCCTGTTAAAAAATTACAAAAATCCCTAATCTACACGATGTATTAGTCGAATACATCACTTTATATGCCATGTATCAATTGAATACATCACTTTACGATATATCGAGGCGTATGTGTGAGGAACGTATCTGAAATCAAGATACAATATATCGAGATGTTTTGAGATGGATTCAGATTCCACCAAATTTAATTTGTAATTTTTTTAAAAAATAGTGATGACACTATGAAATTTTTGTAAAATGTAGTATGACTAAGGGTTGACTCTATTGTTGTCTTGTTTCTATTTTATGGCTCCCATCTCAAAATAAAATATAGTTAGTTGTCAATTGTTGGGTTTCCCGGGCTTTTTGCTACATGTGAAAATTCAACCACATTCTATTAAAACAGACCAAGAACTATTATGTGTTGTTTATTATTGTTTCCCTTATTTTCTCAAACCCCTCGAGAAAATTCAGGAAAATAAGAAACCTTTTTACACATTCATTATTCTCATTTCAGACCAAAAAGGAGGGGTTTTCTCAGATGGCAAAAATCTATGTAGGAAAATTGCAAACACTAATTTAGGGGATGTGCCATTAGCTAGTAAGTAGTACTATTCAATATTGAATCTCTTTCTGTAAAAACTATTCATTATCATAGGGTAAAAAAGGATTCACGCATTTATGAATTGTTGAAGGGAAAGTTGTTTATTGATTGTATGTATGTGGTGATAATTAGGGAATTGGAAGAGAAAAATGGTGAAGGAAGAGAGTAAGTATCAGAAGTCTCGGTCGTTCAATTTTAGGAAGATACTTGAACTTCCAAGTAGATTGGCACATAGCATTGGAGGGGAGAGTAGTAGTGATGACGACGAAGAAGCGGAGATTGGAGGAATAATACCTTTACAAAATCAACAGATAGATAGTAGTACTGCTTTTGATCCATCACTTGTTTCAACCAAGGTACCAAAACCCAAACCTTCAGGTAATTCATTCTTCACATTATTATTATTATTATTATTATTATTATATTTGAATTGTACACAACATGCTTGAAGTTGGTGCAACTACATTTTTCTTGTTATCCAGACATGGAATTGATGAAAGAAAGGTTTTCAAAGATGCTTTTAGGAGAAGATATGTCAGGAGGAGGCAAAGGTGTTTCATCAGCTCTTGCTTTATCAAATGCCATTACCAATCTAGCTGGTAATATAATATAATATAATATAATCGAAAACACACACAAGTTATACTTTCTCTAACTCATATGTTATTATTATAGCTTCTATTTTTGGAGAACAATCAAAATTGGAGCCCATGTCTCAAAAGAGAAAAGAGAGATGGAGAAAAGAAATTGACTGGCTTTTATCTGTCACGAATTACATTGTTGAATTTGTCCCTGGACAACAAAAATCAAAAGATGGAACAAACATGGAGGTATGTATTTCACCATCTTCCCCCCCCCCCCCTCCCGCCCACAACACTGCCTCAAACACTGAAATAATAAAACTGTTTTGACAGATAATGATTACTCAACAAAGAAAAGATTTGCTCATGAACATCCCTGCTCTAAAGAAGCTCGATGCAATGCTCATTGTGAGAACCCTACCCTACCCTATAACTGTTTAAATAAATGAATCAGGATCAACTCTAATTCTACATAGTAAATATATGAATCAGGATTGCTTAGATAATTTCAAAGATGCAAAAGAATTTTGGTATGTCTCAAAAGATGCTGATGATTCTGAAAAAGGTGTCCAGAGAAGTGATAAGTGGTGGCTTCCTACCATCAAGGTTCCACCCGAGGGTCTCTCAGATGAATCGAGAAGATGGCTACAATATCAGAAGGATTGTGTGAACCAAGTACTCAAAGCATCCATGGCCATTAATGCCCAAATACTAGCAGAAATGGAAGTCCCTGAAAACTACATTGACTCTCTCCCCAAGGTGACAACCATTATATTCATTCACTCATTGAAGAGACATTTTAACGACATTGTTTGGTTTTTGTAGAATGGTAGATCAAGTCTTGGTGATTCAATCTACAAGAACATCACGGTTGAGTTTTTTGACCCAGAACAATTCCTTTCAACAATGGACATGTCATCGGAACACAAAGTTGTTAACTTGAAAGACAGAATTGAAGCATCTATTGTGATTTGGAAGAGAAAGATGCACCAAAAAGATGCAAAATCTTCATGGGTTCCAGCTGTGAGTTTTGAGAAGAGGGAGCTGTTTGAAGAGAGAGCAGAGACCGTCTTACTCTTGATAAAACACAGATTTCCTGAAATCCCTCAATCTTCCCTTGAGATAAGTAAAATTCAATATAACAAAGTAAGTAGTAGTATCATACTCATTATGATAATAATATTGATTGAACATGTTATCAATTAGTATCTTTGTGACTATAGGATGTGGGACATTCTGTTCTAGAGAGCTATTCAAGAGTGCTAGAGAGTCTAGCCTACACAGTTACATCACGCATCGAAGATGTCCTATACGCAGACTCTGTTGCACAAGATCCATCACTTGCAATAGCAAAGTGGAACCGTTCAGCTAATTCATCACCTCAAAAACGACAAAGTGTTGTGTCCACTCCTAAAGAAGAGTTCGAGAGGTTGAGTTGTACAGCAGAAACACCTAACTCAATGACTTTATTTGACTTCATGGGCTGGAATATGGAACAAGGAGACGGAGACGTAAATAAGACTAACTTGGAGGCTCTTCCCCAAACATGAGAAAAAAAACCATAACCACAAGAAGAAACACATCCAAGTTTGGACGGAACACTTCATGTTCATCTTGTAAAGCACCATAACTCACTTCATAGTTTTAAGTAGAAAAATCATTCACAATAGCAAGCAACCTAGGATTATTATTATTTTCCCAAGTATGTGAGTCCAATATTTCTAATTCATCAATCAACAAACATGTGCAAGAAAATAAGAAATTCATGACATTTCGCCTGCGCAGAAGACCTCATCAAATTCCTTTAGAATGAAATTCCGAAACATTATGTCCACATAGACACATTAGTCTTATTTAGCATCAAAGGACAAGGACGCGATCATGGAAAGTAGATTTAATATCTTCAGTTAAACTGCTCTTGAATGCAACTAGTCTAGGCCACCCTAGTAATAGCAGCATGCATGGCATCAGCAAGATGAGGAACTGTCCGAGAACTAAGACCTGCCATGCTAATTCTCCTGCAAATGAGAAAGAAGAAAAATGATTCCTCTTTCAAAAACTTCTAGGAGAAAAATGTCACTACTAATGAGCATCTATTTTAACCAAATCCAACTTCAACAAAGATGTTCCAACTCATACCAGAGAAGTGAATATGCCATGGATTGGATGTAATGCTTTTAGAAAAGCGGTATAATTAGGAAGGAGGGGAAGAAAAACAGTAGCTACAATCTCTTCGGTAAACTTAAGTACTGATATGGATGACAGAGCTGAACTTTCTTATGCTTATTTTCCAAACTGAAACTTCTAGTTTGAAATTTCTCCTTACTAAAGAATTCAAGCCGAAACAATCAACAATAAGCACTTCTAAGTTTGAATTCATTAAGTTCCCAAGTGATCCACCGTAACAAACTAAAGAATGAAACCACCATCAACAGTCTGGTGTCCTTACCCATCAGATGTCATGTAAATGTGATACTCGCTAGTCATGAATGAGACTTGCTCAGCATTCAATCCTGTGAAAGTAAACATCCCAATTTGCTTGATGATATGACTCCAATCACCTGGAGTACCTGCAAAATAGAATTAAAATTGCATTAATAATACTAAACTGAACAATTACATGTGTTTTCTCCAGAAAAAGTTCTCATAGCAGTACCAGTCACACCAATCAGACAGACACAGCACGTCTCACTAGAAAGAACAAATCAGTAAATCAGATACCTCGAGCTTGCATGGCAGCATAGAGTTGCTGGCGCATGCTAATAATTCTGTCAGCCATTGCTTTCAGCTCAACAGTCCATTCATCATACATTTGTCTATTACGAATAGATAACAACCACATCAAAATGCAGAAGCTATATACTATCTACTGACACGTGAAGAGAATATTGAAATAGCTGCACAAACCTGTCCTTGAGTATAGTGGCAACAATAGACGCACCATGAATCGGCGGATTTGAGTACATTGGCCTTATAACCATCTTTAGCTGGCTTTCGACTTTGCTTGCAACATCGCTATCTTTGCAAACCTACAATAAAAACATCATGGCCACACACAAAAGAAGAGAGAGGATAACAAAATCCCAGAATTGTATCAAGGCCGCAACACCAAGTAAACAAGTGCACACTACCAAACAAAGCATCCTTCATATCTTTCAAAACTGGCTGTGAATCTTTAGAGACTCTGTTCACTGTGCTGCAGAGCTTTTTAGCTTTTCAGGGAATACAACTTGAATAGTGTATTTAAAGAAAAACAGCATCTTTAAGACAAAAATAGTAGGATAATTCTTCAGCCCCCAATTGTATCACTTAATAAAAAGGGAAAGTAACTAAACTGTGGAAAGACTTACAATGCTAAGGGCACCGACACGCTCTCCATACAGTCCCATGTTTTTGGCATAACTCTGAGCTGCAAGACATTCACCACCATCAGCCACAAACATGCGGACAGATTGTGCATCTGCATCTAGTTTGCCACTGGCAAAACCCTGCAATATCAAGAAAAAATGTAATACAGTAGGGTCAGTTAAGCAGCCCATTAGTACATAGGTTGTGGGCTTCAAATTATTTAGCAATCATTCTAAACGAAGATCACTTGAATCTCAGAATCCCATCTTAAGCTTAACCTGATAAGCACTGTCAAAGAAAGGTAACAACCCCTTGGACCTCATCAACTGCCTGATTTTCTCCCACTGGTCAATTGTTGGATCAACGCCAGTTGGGTTATGAGCACAAGCATGGAGAAGAACTATTGCACCAACGGGTGCAGCAGTAAGATCATCCAATAATCCTGCAGGGGTCATAATAAGCCCACCTTTTTTAAGTCTACTCAACACCAAAAGCAGGGGAAGTCACAGATAAGGTGATTATGTCTATAGCAAAGAAAAGCAAAATTAAATAAAAGGAACAAAGATCTTGTTCTAGGTACACATAAATTATAGAACTATCCAAACATGACAAGGAGAAAGTTACTGCATAAAAAGAGTCAGTTATTTTTCTTTATTCTTTTTAGAGTCTGTTCTTATTTACAAGAGTACTGAAGTACATTGGTAACAGTGGTACCTTGAAAATCCAGGCCTCGCGTTGCTGGGTCATAGTAACGATAATATTTTACTGAAAGCCCAGCTAAAGTGAAAATCTTAGGATGGTTTCCCCATGTTGGCTGTGGTATATATATAGTATGCTGGAAACAAGACAAACAGTAGAATGTTCATTCAAGTGTCATTTTGATTCAGACATATAAAGGGAAAAGACAGTAAGGAATACTTACTTCATGATAATGCCTGGCCAGAAACTCAGCACCAACCCTCAGAGAACCAGTGCCCGACAAACACTGAACAGTGGTCACCCTATTCTCTTTAATGGCAGGGCTGTATCAGCAACGGAACAAATACATAAGCATAGATACATTTAAATATATCTGCTGATGTCCTTAAAAGTAAATTAATAACTCATAACTCAATTAAACAAGGAGTAATCATGATAAAAGAAACAGAATTCTTGATATCACATTCACCATGCACAGATAATCAGTACCACAAAAAGGAGGGAAAAAGAAGTCTTAGAACAATTTTCTTATGATGCAAGGCCGTGATAATAAGATGAAATACCAAATAAAGCTCATCAGTTTCTCTATATTGCAGGGATAATGCAACTCTCATCCAAATATCAAGCAAGACTGAAGGAAGAACTTTGAAGGTTCAGCAGCATTTCTTCTCTTTAAAGAGATAACTGGTTAAGCCAGACAGGTCTAAATGGAATGGACATGCACAGTGATAATTCAGTAGCTAGCTTGGCATCGAAGCGTAGTAGTTGTTGATGATAAGTGGTGAGCAGCCCTTTACTATCAATAAGAAAAGGATGTATGCACGACATGTATGGATTATGTAAAAGAAAAGGTGCTTCAAGAAGACACTACCACAATTTTCACCTTCCAATAAGCAAACGTGAAAAAGACATGAACTTACAGAAGAAAAGAGATAGAAACAGATATGTATGGACTGTCTCGTACTAGAAAATGCACCCATTTAAACTCCAGCAATATTTAGGAAGAGAGGAAAATCTCCAAACCTGTCAGCACCAAATATGAGCTTGGCACTCAATTTGTTAAAATCGGCTATTCCAGTAATTGAGAGATATTCCTTCACACGAGACCTACATTATATAGTAGCCTTAAATTAATATGATGGTTTCAAGTGATTATATCTTCTCATAAGATAAGTGTCTAATTCAGCAACCAACTCACGTGTCATTGACAAGCATTTGTTCAGCTCGTCTCACCACATTAGGAACAAGAGGTTTTCCTTCCTGTCATAGTTGGCATTAGAATAATGATTCTTCAAGCTTTACAATAACAATTTAGCTTATAAAGAAACAATCACTAAAAAAAAGGTAGCAGTGAGAAAATATCTTTATTTGTATCATTGCAACATTCGTAGAGATGGCAATAATGATAGGGATGGCAATGGAGCTGTCGGGTTGAGCTTAACCAGCAAAATTTCAATCCACCCGCCCCGCATAACAATTAACTGCCCCACCCCGCCCGCATAGACCTGCATCGCATAATTTTTTAATACATCCTTTTTCTAGTTAAGTTTGATACTAAAATTATATCTCATAAAAATAAATACATTTTTTTATTAAGTTGTATTAATTTAATACGATACTGAATTTTAAAAAATATATTTTTTAGAGGACAATTGGAAATGAACCATTTTCATTTACTATCTTGAATAGTTTAAAGAAATTTATCTTAAATAATGCTCAACCCATATAAAATTGCATCTACCTACAACCCGTCCCGCCCCACGTTAGTTTTCTAAAAAAACCACTTCAACCCGCCCTGCGTTAGTTTTCAAAAAAATCACTTCAACTCGCCCTGCCCACGTTAGTTTAAAAAAAAAACACTTGAACCTGCCCCGCCCCGCGTTAGTTTTCAAAAAAACCACTTCAACTCGCCCCGCCCACCGTTAGTTTTATAAAAAAAACACTTGAACCCGCACCGCCCCGCGTTAGTTTTCAAAAAAAACACCTGAACCCGCCCCGCCGCACGTTAGTTTTCAAAAGGCACACTTCAACCCGCTCCGCCCCGCATAGCCTTAGACCTCCCCCCCCCCCCACTCCAAAATCCCATTGCCATCCCTAAATAATGGAAACAAATATAATTGATTTAATTTTATTCATTATACATAAAAGGGAGGAGATGGAATAAAGATTCATTGAATGAACAAGTTTTATGTAGATTAATTAAAGAAATAGGAAGGAAAAGAGTGAGTGAGTGAGTGAGAGAGACCTCAGTTCGATATGCGCCAACACCCAAATTCACTTTGACTGGGCTGCTATCATTGTTATAAGCAACTGTTACCTGTATTATTGAATCAAAATAAGATTAAAACCTAGATCCATGCAATAGAATCTAAAAGCACACAGCTATCAATCAAATCAAATGATGTCGAAGATCAAATCATCAACTGATTATTAATTTTTATAAGTCTTAAGAACAAAAACAAAGAGGAGCAGAGAGGTATATACCCACCCCTAAGATGGGATCTTCAGGAGCACGAACAACATGAGCAAAAACAGAATCTGCCATTAGAGTTGGAATTTTAGAGTACAAGTTCAACGGTGTTATGGAGGTGAGTTCAGTACACCTTCCTCCTTTAATTAATGAATAAAAAGTAAGTATTGTTCGCTTCTTTGGGAACTGCGTGGAATACGCCACCTGTATCTCTATGACACAGTGGGCGGTTCAAAACCAGGGGGACTGCGCACACTACAAACTTTTCTTTCTTGCTCTATAATACAACTTCCTTTTTTTTTTTCTTTTTCTTTTTCTTTTTTAAATTTAATTCTAAAAAAGAAAAAGTAATACAGACTTTAACATTATTTACTTTCAGTTTTAACTTTTACCTCACTGAGATTTTTTCATGATTTATACTTCTAAAATCAATTTATTTTGAAATTTTGCTAAGAAATAAATTGTAGTATTTGCTAATTAATTTTAAATATATTTTTTCATAATAATTAATGTTTGATGAAGTATTTTAAAAAGGGCTTATTTGGACACACTTCTATTTTTTTTAAAATTAGAAAAATAATTTTTACGAAGAAAAATGATTTTATTTGACTAATCCATTTTTAAAGTATGTTTGATAATTACATTATGTCTGTTTGACTAGTTCATTTGGAAAATTATTTTTGATACTTAATTTTATTTGACTTATTTTCCTAAAAATTACTTTTGTGCATCGAATTATGAAAAGTACACATTTACTTCATATTATTTTATAGAAAAAATATGTTACATAACTATTATGAACTTAATTAAGTTTTTACTTCATTTAATTAAAATTAATAAATAAAGTTAAAAATTTTCAATCAATATGTTATAAATTAAGTTAGAACAATATGAAGATGAAGATAATATAAATAGAGATCAAAGAGATTATTATTTATTCTTTCAAATGTGTACAACATAAAGGGAAAATTATGATGTAGCATTTTTTATAGTAATATTTTCAAGTTATAGCATTAGATTTTATCTTTTAATATATAGCATTTAATATATCAAGTTATAATATATTATTATAAATTAAAGATTGATTTTAAATAATTTAGGGATAATGTTCAAGTACCCCGTCAACCTATGTCTGAAATCTCAGAGACACACTTATACTATACTGAGGTCTTATTATCCTCCCCCGAACTTATTTTATAAGTAATTTTCTACCCTTTTCAGCCGACGTGGCACTAGTTTGAAAAAAAAAGTCAACCAGCGTTGGGCCCAAAATATAGTGTCATGTAGGCCAATAAAGGGTAGAAATTTATTAATAAAATAAGTTTAGGGGGGTAATAGGACCTTAGTATAGTATAAGTTTATCTCTGAGATTTCGGGCATAGGTTGAGGTGGTACTTGTGCATTTTCCCAATAATTTAAAACATTTTTCAAAAAAGAAAAATAACGGATCAGTTTTTAAATGGAAAATATCATGTTTCATTATTTAAAATAATTAAATTTAATAAATATAATTACTGATTAGCGTCTATTAAGGAACTTTTTTAAAAATCAGATTAATTGGTTACCTTAAAAAGCTCAATTTAGTTGAAATCAAATTAAATTGTGATTTAATTCCTTAAAACGATCTAATAAAACGAAATCACATTAAAATCTGTTATTTTTTTCCAGATATCATGTTTCTCTCTTGTTTGCAGATTGCATTTTCATTTTTTTTAGTGATTGAAGATATTTTGCTGTTGAAAAAAACGTGATTTATTGTGATGGACAACATTGTATCTATATAAATTAAACATGGTGAAAAGTGGAATCCGTCAGGTTAGTATTTATTATAGTTTGTTGGTTTGTTTTTGGTAATTTTATTCAATATACAGATTATTGCATTTTTTGTTTCACACCGTGTTTTGATATGTACCATATGTGCAACAGTACAGAGCAGTATAGAAGTCTTAGTTTTATTAAAATTGAAGATTCGATTAATATGTGTTTTATGAAAAAATAAAATTAATTTATAGTGCGTTTAGTAACTAATCAAGAACGAATTATTTATAACGTTGTGGACCATTGTTGTATGACATTTGTATTAAACGCATATGAATAGCTATTGTTTTTTGTTTGTATGAATTTTGTTTTGATAAACATTGTTTTGTATATTTTGGATGATGGAATCCTGATTTTTTTTATATATGAATTATGTTTTGAATAGCATTTTTTGTATGTTACATGATGGAAAAAGTTTTATTAAGTGTTTATGAAGTATATGTATTATGTATCATGTTCGTAGTTAGTATGTTTTGAATAGTTATTTCTATTTGGTACGGGATGGTAAATGTTGTATTAAGTTTGTATGAAATTTGTATTATTTTCGTAGTTAGTATGTTCTGAAGAGCAATTTCGATATGACATGTGATGATGAAAGCTATGCTAATTGTGTATGAAATGGGTATGAAATTTGTATTTTATTGTATGAAGTATCTTTTCAAGGGTAATTTCGTTATGGTATAGGTTGTTGAAAGGTATATTAAATATGTATGAAGTGTGTATAAATTATTTTACAATTAATATGTATTATGGTATATTAATTATTATTTTAATGTTATGAAACAAGGAAATATGTCGATTTTCAGATGGAGGGCATCATATATGATGTCTTTACTCTGTATAGTGGTCTAGTTAGTGCGATAACATCGCAACTTAATATAAATGTTAATATAAGCGCTATTGAGATAAAATATATTGTTAGTGATATGTGTCCACCTGTTAGCATTCACAATGATGTTGGGATGAGGGTTTTTCTAGTCAAAAGAAAGCAAATTTAGATTTCTTTACAAAATATCCATTGTGCATCTCTTTGAAAGATTTTGAGATGTATAATCAAGATTCTGGAGTTGTTACTAATAGGAGATATTCTGAAGTTATCTTAACACAAACTAACGTTGATTTATGCTCTAACAATTCCATCCTTTGATCGGAGTGAATTTAGACGGAGATGTCGATGGGAATAGTGAAGAAGATAATTATGTAATAAGTGATCATTCTAACCTATTTGTAGTTAATAATCAAACTTACAAGAATAAGGAAATACTTAAGGAGGTGATGAGGCATGTTGGACTTTAAAAAATTCAATTTTCGTATATCACGTTGTAATACATCTAAATAAGTACACATCATTCTTTTAATTTGTGTTTTTTATTCGATTGATTTTAGTTTATAAAATTCAAATTTATATTTTTTTAATTTGTGAAACAGTTATTACCTGAATTGTCTTTCTGATACTTGCTCTTGGATGATGAGAGCATCATGTTTGAATAGATCAAATTTATTCAAAGTCAGAAAGTACAATGCTGAACACACTTGTTCAGTTAAAGATAGAGTTTATGCAAGACGTCAAGAAATAACTGTCATTGTAGCTGTCTTAATAATGGATAAGTATATTGATTCATGTACCGTATACACTCCAAAGAATATAGTGGAGGATATGTTGAAATTGCATGGTGTTTCGCTAACATACATACATGCTTGGAGAGCTAAAGAAAAAGCGATGAAATTGATGCGTGGAGATCCAACCGAATCATATGCCAAACTACCAGGTAATTTTGATGTAAATTATGAACTAAAAATGTTTTTAATTGTAAAAATAAAAAAAACTAGCATACAGTTTGTTTTCTGAATGAATTGAAATTGTCTGTTTAGTATCCTTGATGTATCACTTTTATATCATTTCTGTATGTAATATAGTTACATAGGTATTAAAGTAGGTATCCTTTTTTTTTTATATATATATCCATTTAGTTATATATATGATGTTTTATAATATTAAACTCGCTTATTATATAATTATAAAAAATTTAGGTTATGCATACATATTGGAGCAAACATATCCTGGATCGGTTTTGAAAATAGAAAGGAAGGAATGTGATAAATTCTTATACACATTTGTTGCATTAGAAGCTTGTATTAGAGGCTGGGAGTATTGTAGGCCAATTGTAGTTGTTGATGGGGCATGTTTAAAATATTCATATGGTGGTACAATGTTGACTGCCAGCACTATGAATCCATGAGGTAATTTTTGATCCCATAGATTTTTACGCTTATACAATATAATAAAATATGATATAAAGTATGTTTTCAATTTGTGTGATATTTTTTTCAAAAAATGAATCAGGTCATATACTTCTGTTGGCGTATTCAATAGTGGATTCTGAAAATGACGCTTTATGGACTTGGTTCTTTGAATAGTTTAAAAAAGCCTATGGAGTTAAGCAAAACATGTGTTTTATGTCAGATTGAAATGAGAGCATATGAAAAGAGACTGTTACTGTATATCCCGAATTCAAACATTATGCCTGCATATGGCACCTAACCTGTAATGTGTTGAAGAATTTCAATAGGAATACTGAAGATTTGAAGATTTTATTTTTTTTACACTTGCAAAGGCTTATACAAAACAACAATTTGAGATGATTATGAGAAGAATAAACCAGATAGATCCGCAAATAAGACATTACTTATTTGATATCGATTCTAGCAAATGGTCAAGAGCTTACTCGAATTGTAAGCGCGCATGGACCATGACTTCAAACATTGCCGAGTTATTGAATAATTAACAAGATAGCAAGGAGATTACTAGTGATTTCACTTATTGAATTTATGAGGATAAAAATTCAAAGATGGATTCACAAGCACAATGAGGAGGCTGATAAAACAACATCTGTGCTGACAAAAAAATATGATCTTTATCTCCAGAAAAGTATTGTTTTTTCTTGCAATATGAAGGTATGTCTTTTACTCTATTCAACAATAATTAACTGTATTTTACTTCCCAATTTTTAATGACATATATATTAACAATTTCACATTGAATTTGTTATTTAGTGATACCTTGAACAGTTGATATGCATATTGTAGCTGAAGGAGCAAAGAAGTACATAGTAAACTTGAACACAAAGATGTATAGTTACGGGAGATTTCAACATTATTATATACCATGTGGTTATGTAATTGTAGTTCTTAGATACAGAAAATTGCATGAAGCATATTTTTGTTCTGCTTTTTATAGCCTGAAGAATTTCAAAGATGCATATGTCATTGTTGTTGAACCTATCCCATGCGAGTGTACATGAGATATACAAAGTTATATTTCAGAACCTAAATTGATGTCACCTAGTCCAAATTGATTAGCGGGAAGACCAAAACTTAAACGCTCGAAGGGGTTTGCTGATGTAAAATTCAAAAGGTTAAAAATTACTTGCAGTAGATGTCGTCAAGTTGGACACAACAGGAAGACTGTTCAAATTATTCTTTGTAAAAAACAATTTACTATTTTTACTTATTGCTACACATATTTTTATGTTGCTTGGAATGTTAGACGCAAGTTTTGTTTTATGGAGTGCATTTGGTATCATTAACATTGATAAATTCTAATTTTGTGAAAATTGTCCAACTATAAATAACATTGAAACACACTTTATATAAATGTGAACTACTGTATACAAGTATTATTCAAATTCCATACATAGTTCATAGTTCATACAAAATTCATACCAGATGGATCAACGATTTTAAATATATCTAAAGGTACAATGAATCCCCATTTATACAAAATTCATTTCGAGTTCATACAATATTCACACAAGTACTTATTGTTACAAATATTTTATGTTGTTTTGACTGTTAAACACAAATTTTATTTTATGGAGTGTATTTGGTATTATTAACATTGATAAATTCTGATTTTGTGAAAATTGTCCAACTATAAATAACATTGAAATACGCTTTGTATAAATGTGAACCACCGTATACAAGTACTATTCAAATTCCTTACATAGTGTTGGATTTTAAAAAGGTGTCTATGGAAAATGAAGAGTTGCGATTTTTATGAAGAGTTGTGACTTTTATGAAATGTTGCAACTTTTATGAAAAGTTGTGACTTTTATGAAAAGTTGTGACTTTTATGGAAAGTTGTGACTTTTATGATAAATGACGACCTTTCTGAAAGATTGTGACTTTTTCAAAGGTTTGTGACCTTTTTGATAAGGCACAATAAGAACCTTTTCGCACTACCCTTTGTTTTCTATAAATTGAGGGATTTCCTCTCATTTTAATATAGAATTCATGGACTTCTTCTTCAACTACTAAATCTAGTATTCTAAGTGTACTTTACTATCGTTGAGTGGTTCACTGATGGAGTTTTTGATATCTATACTCTGGTTATTGAGATCATTTTACCCTGGGAGGTCATATTCCAAATCAAACCTCGGAGTACTAGAGGGGAATAATTTCCTTAAGGGGACACTGTGAGTTCAGTGGACTTGATCTTTTTCCTATTAAAATTTTTCGAGATTCTGGTACGTATTTTACAAATATTAGATTTGGAAATTAATTCCAGTTCTTCTATTCTTCACTGGTTCAATAAACGTGGTAACTTCGTGTTTCTGCAAAGTTTATTGGAATCAGTAAGATTCTTTAGACACATATTTAACAACAATTCATCTTTAAAAAATATTTTGTATATTTTCTTTAATCTGTTTCTGATTCTAGTTTCGCTACTAGTTTTAATTTTCTAGTTGTGAAAATGTTCTTAAACTTTGTTGTCTTACAAAGATGTTCAAAGTTTTGTTCTAAGTATGTTTGGAATATATGTCTTGTCGCGCTCCATTTTCGCAGAAAACAGGTTTTGTGCACGACCTAACAACTCTTTTGGGATTTTCGAGTTTGGAGTCGCCACCTAACGAATTAAGGCGCGTTAGGGCACCTATTTAACCTAACTAAATCTAACTAAGGTCAACGGGCCAGAGATTAGGGTAAGGGTTCAAATTACCTCGAGGGGAAGGTGTTAGGCATCCCTCGAGGTCCACAAGTGTGGGTCCCGGCCGTATCTCATGCAATCTATGTGGGGGTACAAGTAGCAATCAAGGTCGTTTAATTTATTAATTTATTTGATCTTACTAAGTGATAACAAATATAAAACACTTAATACTATTAATTTAAGCATGCAAGGCTAGGTGATAGCAATAAATAAACAATCAAGTTTTATTTATATTTAAGCATGAGACTAAGTTATAAACAAAATTTATAAATATTAAACAATTAATATGTGAGAAAGTAATGTTTTGAAAATTGAGCAAGTTTTGAATATGAATTTTTATTTTAAAAAATATTTGTTTCTTTATAGGGATGATGCCACGATATTATTGATCGTGCTTCTCCACCATAGAAACAATTTTGATTTGAGGTTGGTCTAAAAATAGTTTATGTTTTTGAAAAATGATTTAGTTTACACGTAGGCATATAAACATTTACATATAAATGCATATAATTTCTTTTGAAATTCATGGGTAGGTGGTACTTCCGGGGACGCGTCGGGTTTAAAAAGTTGGAACTAGACCTCGTAGTTCCTTTGACTTTCCCACTAATGATAGGTTAGGAGATAGTGCTTATAATTTTTTTTAAAAATAAACAATGTCATAATCAATCCAAAGTTTTAAAGAAAGATTGAATAATGACTTTTTAAGAAAATTATGTTGCAAGGTTTTGATATGAAATAATTTTTTTTGAAAGCCAAGTAATTTGCTAAATGCGTGAAATGATTCTAATTTATTTTTTTTTTAAAAAACATATTGCATCATGAATGAGGAAGACAAATAGAATTAATATCAACCAATTTTGGGGGAAGGACACAAATATGCACAAACAAATTTTATTTTTACGAATATGTTAAGAGTTTATTTACAAGCCTATAGACATGATTTCTAGGTGTTCAAAAAAAAAGTAACACATATATGCATAATTTTGTAAATTTAAATGTTATGAACAAATTAAACCTTAGACATGGTTTCTACATGACAAGATGATGCTAAAATTATAACATTGATAAAACACCTATCAGCCTATTATGATTTTATTTTAAAATTAACGGAATCTAGTTTAATATTTTTTAGACTTATTAACAAAGCATCAAACAATTGATTGGATTATAACACCTACAAACAATAGTTCTAGGTGGTTAAAGGCAAACCTATAGGCATGATTTCTAAAAATTTATAATGAACAACTAGGCATATAAATCCCCCTCCCCTAGACGACTCCCCCAAATGAATTTATTATATGATCTTTAGAGTTACAATTGTTACAACATTCGAATAAATAAAATAGGAGAAAAAATAAATAAATACATATACATTCAAATAAACAAATAAATCTTTCTTCAATTAATCTTCAACTTGAACTTCAAGTTTGAAACCTGTTAAAGCAGTCAAATAACGTTTGAGTAGATTAGAAATGGTAGCAATGAAAAGCAAGTTGATCCAACCTTTACTCGAACAAAAGCAAAAAGCAAGGTAGCGAAGAAGAGCACTTGAATGTTTATCGAAATATTAATGTAATTAGAGTAGCAAGAGAGCAATGAGAATGAAGAGTGATGAGAACTTGTGATTTTGAGAGTGAATGAGTGTATGAGTTGAAGAATGTTCAACCATGTGTGTGTAAACATGTGTAAGGTGTTCAAATTAATGAGATAAAAATGGTCACTTTTCTAGCAGAGAAGAGGGTATATAATATAAGTAAAGAAAACATTTATGATTAATTAAATATAGTTTTCCTTAACCAAAGAAGCACAAAATCAGTAATATTTACTAAACTAATAAAGATTTTTTCAAAAATAAACATGTAAGAATAAATTTTAAAATCCAATTATTCTAAAGGACCAATTATATATCAGTTTTTCCTTTTAAAAAAGGCCAAATCAGAAAATTTATTCTTAGCTTAATCAAATATCTTCCTTAATAAGCAAAGAGTAAAATCACTCATCTTTATTTCTTATCATAACCGAACAAAAAATTAACCAAAATAATCAAATAAGCAACTTAGTAAATATTTTACCTAAGGTAGAAAATCAATTAACACAAGTCAGCAAATTGATAAAATTATAGGAAATCTGCCAAAGCAAATGATTTGTTAAAAAGAAAAGGGCACCAAATAAGTCCAAACCATATTACTTCATTATAGTTACTTACTATAATCAAAACAAGTAAAAACCAAGGGTCATTCATATAATTAATTACATTTCCCAAAAGATCAAGTACCCCACACTTTTAAAGGTGATCTCCAGCAATTAGATAAACATAATTGACCTAACAGATCCCATATTAGATCGTCATTCAAGCAAACAACATCATTCACATATATAATTAGTTGATTAACACAAAATTAACATAATTGAGTCCACCAGATTTTCAAGTTTAGCAAGAGCATGCATAGATCAATCAAGACTTTTACAGATAAATATTTCGACATCAAAATTCTGCCACGTAAATTAGTAGATTAGCAACACAATCTAATGAAACACTATAAGCAAACTAACATATTGTAATGTCTTGAGCACACGAGAAAATTGGAAAGTCACAAATATTAATGAACCAGCAACCCATACACGTGGATATTACAGCTTAAAAAAAGATGATAGTTCATACCTGGGATAGATCTGTCCTTATAATAATGCCTTGATTTTTAATTCTAGATCCAACTTACTGGAGTGGAGATTGATTGTTGTTAATGTTGAGTTTCCGACAGAGATGGCTGGCCGGTGGGAGGCGCTGGTTGCTGCTGCTTCGCGGGCTGCTGCCTGTTGGTCATTGCCGGAGAATGACGGGTTGCTTGTTCATGCTGGCCGGAGCAGTTGCTCGTCGTGGATGCTGGTGTTGCTATTGCATCCCTTCATAAAAAAAATAAAAAGAGAAAAGAGAAGAAGAAGGGGGAGAGAAGAGACGGGAGGGGGAGAGAGGAGAAGAGAAAAATGAGGAGAGCTAAAGAGAGCGGGGGAGAGGGAAATGGGGAGGAGAGAAAGCATTAGTTGGAGCAGCCTTCGCCAGAGCTCTCGTCGGTCTGCTGGTGGAGAGGCGAGAGACGGGGTCCGGCGACTGAAGAGAGAGGAGAGGGGAGGAGGACGGCTGGTCGGAAAAAGGAGAGAGGGGAGGCTCGCTGAGAAAACAGGGGGAGGGGGAAGACGGCTGAAGAGAGAGGAGCGAAGATGATGGGAGAGGCGGCTTTGAGAGGGGGGAGGAAGAGAATGAATTAGAATTTTAGGTTTTTAGGGTCTTTTTGTTGTTGAAGAAAGAGAATGGGAGATTTAATCACAACCGTCGGTTTAGATAGAGATGAAGGGTTAGGATTCGATCTAGGATTTATTAATTAAATAGACGATGAGATCAAAAGATGATTTCTTGAAATTAGATGAGTTAGATACGGAATGGCTAAAATTGCAAATAAAATTGGCTAGAATTGAAAGGAAGAGATGACTATGATTGTAATAAAATTTTAATTGGAGTGGCTAGACTTGAAAGAAATTAGAATAAAATAGGCTAGAACTTAAATAATTTCTAAAATATTTTTGTATAATTGAAAATCATTTAAATTTTAAAACATTTGAAATTCATTAAAAATTTAAAATATAATAATATTTATAATAAATTTATAAAGTAAACATACTAAAATATATGATTTTTGAGAAAAATCGACTAAAACTTTAAAATTTAAGTAAATTTTAAAATACGTATTTAGTCGAATATAATCCTAAAAATGTTTAAAGGTCGGTCAAAATTGGGTGTCAACATGTCTATTATAATAAAAGTATTTACATAGACATAAATATTGGTGAATAGTCATTTGCTATGTTTTCGTAAATATAACATTTGGACTATAATGTCTTTATTGAACCTAATAAAACATTGTTCAAGGGTAGTTCTATAATAATCATATTGAAAGTTATGGAAATGTCCTTCTGAAAAGGACATTTGACAATCTAAACAATGTTTGTATCACACAAAATTATAAGAAATAGAAACAAAATATTAGTGAGGAAAAAGCTACCTCGCGAAGAGCTTTTTGAACTCAATGTTTTTATTTGTTCTTACTTGCTTGAGTCAATGTTTGTGATATGAGCACTTGGGGCATGTCAATTACAAAACCTTGTAACAAAAACTGATCAACTTATAAGTTTTGTCTAACTTTGAGTGCAATAAATAAAAATGTCAAGTTTTTGTGGAATCTAAGTATGTTGAGCATTCTTATAAAACTGTTGAAAGGAATTCTAATCCCTTAGAACTTAGAATTGGTTTACACTGACATTTGTGATATGAATTTAACACCATCTGATGGTGGAAAAAAGTATTTGTTACTTTTATTGAGAAATGCATTAGAAATGACTATGTCTATTTGCTGAATGGTAAGGATGAAACAATAGAAATGTCTAGTCAATGTAATATTGAAGTTGAAAATCAGTGTGAAAAAATAGAAGTGATAAGAATGGAGAGTATAAATCTCATTGTGCAGAAATAAGTTTGGAAAGTGGAATATCCATCAAACTATTGTCATATTCACCTCAATCTAATGAAAAACCGAACATTGAAATAAATGATGGATGCATTATTTATAATTTCGGGTTTACACAAAACTTGTGTGGAGAAACTATCTATACTTCAAAAGGGAACGACAATTTTTTTTTGTCTTCTTAGGAAGAAAGCGATTTTGTTTGATCAGAATATAATCTTTTTCATATGAGAAATGAAAAGGAAAGAAATCCAACTTGAAATATTTCAAAGTGTGAGAGTATCTAGTCAAAGTCCAAGTTCCTACTCCTAAAAGAATTAAAATAGGATCTATGAACGTGGACTGTAAAATTAGACTTGAGTGGTCTAGAGAAGGTTCTAAAAGGCTAGGAAATGAAAAGGATAATGTACTTAATAAAGAGATTCAGAGGCTTAGTAAATGTTAAAGGACATTTAGTTTCTTTGAATATGATTTTGTAACATTTTCTGTGTCTTCTGTAGACTCATTCTTTGGAAAAATAGTGTCAATAAACAATATTGAAAGTTAATTGATCTTCTTCAAGAAACTAAACCTTTGGGTTCAAAGTGAATTTTTAGAAGGAAAATAACAGTTGATGGAATTGTTGAAAAATATAAAACAAGACTTCGTGTCAAAGACTTTAGATAAAAAAAATAAGGTTTTGATCTTGTCGATATATACACTCGTTAGTAATTAGAATTACATCCATTCGAATGCAAAAATTATTAGTGTGGTATATGACCTCCAAATTCATCACATGAATGTGAAAAGAACTTTCTTAAATGTTAGAATTGGAGGAAGAAATTTATATAGAACAACCCGATGGTTTTGTGGTTCCTGGTAAATAAAAGAAAGTGTGTGAACTTGTTAAGTCACATTATGGAAGCACCCAAACAATGACATAATTTAATCAAACCATGTCGGTAAATGGATTGAAGAATGATGGAAGTGATAAATGTTTTCACATTAAAATCATAAGGTCATTGTTTATTTTTGTATATTGGTGATTTGTTGATCATCAATAGAGAAACTAATGACATAAATGCTACTAAATGTATGCTATAACGCAAGTGGAATGAAAATTATTGGAGTTGTTAATGCGATCTTAGATATAAGAATTCGTAGAACTCTATAATGTATAGCAGTTTCACAGTCTCATTTCATTGAAAAGGTACTTAACTAGTTCAAATATTTGGATGTCAATATTGTCAAGTCTCCAATAATTGTGAGCTTTGCATTTCAAAAGAGTGAAAACAAAAGTGACTCACAATTGGATTGTGCTAGAGTTTTGGGAAGCATGATGTATATAATATAGTGTGTGCGATCAGATATATCATTTGCTATTTAAACTGAGTCAATTCACAATTGATCCCAAATAAATTCATTAGATGACAATAAATAGAGTTTTGGAGTATTTAAAATAATACTTAAAACTATGTCTTGCATTATAACAATATCCAACAATATTGAAAAATATAGTGATGCAAATTAAATCATCGAACGGATGATGTAAAATTCACGAGTGGATATGTATTTACTATTGATAGAAGAACAGTCTCTCAGAAATATTTCAAAAGAGACATGTATCGCTAGCTCTACAATGATCTTTTACCTAGGTGCTCTAGATAAGGTCGGTGAATAAGTTGAAAGACTTCGGAATTTTTTGATAGATATTCTATTTTGGCCCAAACCATTGGCATTAGTATGCATACACTTTCACAGTCAAGATGCAATAGGTAGGGCATGGAGCATGACGTATAATGTAAAGTCTCGTTATATACGACATAGACATGATACCGTTAGAAAACTACTCTCTAGTGGAATTATCGGAATAGACTATGTAAAGTCAAAGGATAATGTGTCGGATCCATTTACAAAAAGGCCTGACTAGAGAGGAAGTTAAAATATAATCTTAAGAAAATTAATATACTGTTAGTATTTTTTGTATTCTACTGATTGAGAGAATTTGATCATGGAAGTAGAAGATAAATGCATTACTTCTCCATAATTCTTTGCCTTGTTTAGCAAGGTCGAAGTGATAATGTAACAGAAAATTTTTATGGTATTCCGTTTAAAAATAACAGGTAACCTTCTTATTAAATTATCTAAGGAGGAAAATAGTTTCTAAGAGTTATAACCTTTGATTTTTTTTATTATGTATATCTTTGGAAAAAGATCTGCAAACCATATGTTGTGGAATAAATTTTACTTCGCAAATATTATTGCTTTTAAAATTCTTTAGTTGATATACCGTGGTTTCACGGTATTTTTAATGCTTTTTCCTTAAGTTTAGTGTGTGTGCAAAAGACTTTTTGTATTGATTTTTTATGCAAGTTTCTCTTTATTTGCAGGAAATTTGTCCAAAGATAAACGCGGAAGTTTTTGAGCAAGAAATGCAGAAAAGTTACCACCTACGGAGCTTATGATGGTCCGTTGAGCTTGCGATGGTCCGTAGGTGGCAACCTAGTGAAGTTGCTGAAGGAAGATGGGGAAGTCTGGTGGAATCACGGAAGTTCATGACGGACCGTCATAGCCACCTGCTGGTTCGTCGCGATGATCAAAGAATAGTACCAGCACCAATTTTCAAGAAGTTTAAGTTTTATGGAACGAAGACCCTCGATGGACCGTCGTGCTTGGAATAGTCCGTAATACCAGCCGTTGAGGGTAATGAAGAGAGCAGCAGAAGAATTTGTGAAGTATGGGACGACGGAGGCCATGACGGTCCGTCACGAGGTCCGTCGACCCAGCCGCATTTTGACAGATTTTCAGTAATTAGAGTTCTTCTTTTATTAGGTTTTTGTTTTTGTATAAATAGTTCGAAAAAACTCATTTTTGGTGTTAGACTTTTTGTTAGTAAACTCTTTGATATTAGACTTTTTGATTGTTACACTTTTTCGAGAATTGATTGTTGGTGTGTTTGTTGATTAATCAAGTGAATTTCTGGAATTTATTCTTTCTCATCAAAGTAAGTGCATCAATTCTTATATTAAATATATAAATATTGTGATTATGACTATGGGTAACTAAACTACATTACTAGGATTGTGGGAACCATGGGTGAATAATGAGGTAAAATCTAACTAAAATAACAATTCTAGATTAGTGTCTTGAATGTATTGATAATTCTTTCGCTTAGAAGTCTTTTTAACGTATGGCCAACGTTAGAACTCGCCTTAATGCTACTTGCCGGACCAAGGAGGTAGATAATAGGAAAAGAATTATCAACATAGATTTAGTGTATACTATCTAATAGGCTAGTATGGATTGGTACGAGGTAATAACTTAGTCAAATATCGAATATGATGCTTAATATGAGGTAAAGGTAAGGGTTAGTATAGCAACACACGTAGCCGGACCAAGATGCGGAGTGAAATTTTCTAGATGCCGGACCAAGGATTTAGAAATACATAACTTATCACTTAAATGCAAGATACTAGGAAAGAATTGTTATAGTTAGAATTATCAAGTTAGGAACCTGTGGGGAACACGTAAACCCTAGTTACTTTTATTAACTTATTAAAATCCAACATTTGAATCGGTTAGTGGTCTACTTTGATTTAGCTAATTATTTTCATTCATTTAGAAATAAAAATCTCCCTTTTATTGTCTTTGCTTTCCAAGGAAATAATTGACTAAATAATAGTAATAATAGATTGAAGTTAAGTCTGAACTATTTTCCTCGTGGGAACGATCCCAACCTCATTAGTTAGGTTCTTTACTCTATACGACCGCTTTAC